GCCCTCTTCTGGGTCCCTTCTCACTCTTTCTGGGTGAGATGCTCTTACCAAAGAGGAATCTGGGTTTGGTGAGCTGAGTGATGGTCCTGGACCACACTTGCAGTCCTAGATGTTCAACAGCTTTCTCAGCGTGGCACCATTTTCTTCCCATACAGATCCCAAAGAACAGCATTTTATCCCACACTGGGCTGACCATGAGTCCATGTGCACCCGCTGGAAGGGACACTCAATGCCAGGGGAAAGACTCATGTGGTCAACCCACCAGTATCTCAAGGAGATGCTCACCAACACCCTGCTTTGGGGAGACATCTTTGGGGACACTAGGAGAAAGCAAAGCTTTTCCAGCTTGCTGAGGCTGGAATCAGTAGGTTTGGGACTTTATCCCATCATGAGACACGATGGAGCATCTCAGGGTGTTGCTTCCCAGCGTATTCTGTTTCAGGGAAAAGCCGTTTTGAGGAGCAGAAGGAATTAGTTGTCTTTTGGAACTTAGCTCTACTGTGGAAAACAATCCCATCGTTTTGTCCTGGGAGTTTGGCTTCTCTCTTGGGGCAGAGAATTATGGCTTCAAAGAATGTGGCCTGTTGATTCCTTGATTTTGGGGGGATTTTTTTGAGAGTTATTGGAAATGAATGTGAAAAGGTCTTCCAGAAATAACCTTAGGTGGTCTACGGACTTGTGAAGCTTTGCATCCTGGTTTTTGAGTACGTAATATATTTTTCTATGCATTTTGCTACCACAGCAATTACTTGTCTGTGTTTAACTGACTTATCACCTGTCTCAGGCTTCTAAAAAAACCAAACATGTCACCCCAGTGGCAGCACAAACCCCTTTTCCTTCAACCCAGAAGAAGCCTGTGCTATTTAACACCGAGGTTGTGATAGCATCCAGCTGCTCCTGCCAGTTCCTGGACCATCCATGAGGTTGTAGCCTTATGATGAGAGCGAGCCCGGAGAGAGGGGCTCTGACCTGCTGGTGTCAGCAGTGGTGTGGAAACCAGCTGCAGTGTGGGGCCTGCGTTAGGCATTTGTTTTGGGAATGATAAACCCTCCAACTCTGAACTTCTTTGGAATTTGCCTATTTTCTTCTTTTAAGTCAGATATTTTCTATTCTGGTAATTTACATTATTTCTTAATACCCTGCTCCATTTCTCCATCCTGTTTTTCACCCGGGTGTTTGGCTGAAGTACTAATTAGTTCAACTTTTTTGTCGCACACAAACTGGAATAGGAATCGTGGTGAACTCAGCTAAGGGGGAGCAGCTCTGGATTTGGCTCTGCAGGAGCCGTGGTGAGTCCTGGAGCTGAGGAGAAGTATCTGTCTGGTGGCTTACAGGTGGAGAAGGCTCCTTCTGAGGTCCCTGCGGTGCAGGCTCAGCTCTAGGTGATCTTGTACCATGTAGGACACCTCGTGCGTGGCTGTGCCAGGGCTCTGGTTAGACTGTGTGGGGCCATATTCCCAGTTTTAAGTGATGATACTGAAAATGGAGAGAGTTTGAGGCGGGGTAAATCGACATCTCGATTGTTTGACTTTGTTTAGTTTTCTAAATGGTGCAGAGCTTTTGGGGGGGATCACACTCTCTGGAAGAGTTGCAGACTGTTCTCTGGCAGCAGCGTGAGCCCTGGGATGTGCAGGGAGGATGGTTGTGTCCCATCCTCTCACCAGCTCGGCTTCATCCTGGAAAATATCACCAAGTGCCTGTACCACCCGGTGCTGGATACCCGGCTCCCCAGTTGCCTACAGCACCCTTGGGAGGTTTTTGGTGCTTTTTTTTGACCACTCAGTCTCCTCTCTCAGCCTGGATTAAAACCACAGCTCTTGGTGGTCTGGAGGCAGGTGCCTGCCTGTCAGCTGTGCCTTACTGAGCAGTAAATTAAAAATAATAATAATTAAAAATAAATGTGAAGCAGCAGGGACACACAGCAGCAACAGCATCCTGGAGCTCGGTACCTTCCACCCCCGGGGTGCAGGGGGCTCTGCCTGCCTGATGACAGTTTTTCTTCCTCCCCTGCACGGTTCTAGGTCCTGGTGTGTGCGAGGGGCAGCTGCTCAGCGCTGTTGCCGATATTGTTGCGCTGTGTTTGTCTGCTGGACGGGGAACAGATCCGCGGCCCCAGCGAGGAGTGTGCGGAACGAGCAGCTCCTGGGTGGACTCCGGGATGCCGGGAGTTTTCCCGTTGCCTTTCACGATGGAAAGACACCTCCTAGGATGCTCTCGGGAGCTGAGATCTTCGGCCACTTGCTGTTATTTTTGGTTGCCAGATTTCCAGTGCTGGGTTGGAACTGTTTGGATTTAACTCCAGTCGTGTCCCGGTAGTCTCTTAACGGGGCTGTTTTGAGAAGCATCCAGCTCTGTGATTTGCTTTTCGAGTCCTGTCTCTACACTAAGGACTGTCTCGTGGGGCGGGGTCTGAACCGTTGGAATTAGTCTGTAACGTTACGATCAGAGTGTACAGAGTTATTTATTTTGTGTACTCTGTCTGCTCAACACGTAAATGTATTGTGTGTACCCCACCGCTCTGCTGCCCTCACTTCTGCTCGGGGACGGGGTGAGCTGGCTGCTGAGAGGCCTGGGAGGGCTCGTCGGTCAAGGCATGAAAGCCAGGAGCTGCTCACCCCTCTGACGTGTTCTTGGAGCACAGCAAGAAGGTACCAAAGTGCTCATTAAAAGAATTTCCTGGTTTCTTTAACACAACTGCCAGGCCAGGAGCTGCCTGGGGGAGACCCGGCGCAGGGCTGGGATGTCCACGGGGTGCTCTGGATGAGGCACTCAGCCCCCGGCTGGAGGGTGGGGTTTGGAGGCTGAAAAAGCACTTGGGGACATTTTGTTCCCTTGTCTTTGGCTGCAAGGTGGCAAACAGGGCCGGAGAAATACCCGGGTTTGGCCTCAGAAAGTCGTCACCTTCTCTGGTTTCACTCTGAGCAGCTTTTATGGGTGAACAGGAAAACCTGTAAAACCAAGTGGGAAATGCACACCCCTCGTAGAGCATCCCAGGATGTCCTGGATTGGAGAGGACCTTTAAGATCATCGAGTCCAACCATGAACCCAACACTGACAAGTCCCCTATGACTAACCCATGTCCCTCAGCACTATGTCTACACCACTCTTCAATCCCTCCAGGGATGGGGACTCCACCACTGCCCTGGGCAACCCCTTCCAATGCCTCAGAACCCTTTCAGCAAAGAAATTCTTCCTCACATCCCATCTCAACTGCCCTGGCCACAACTGGAGCCCATTTCCTCTTGTCGTTTTGAACTGTGTCCTCCTGGAAGGGAGGTGATTTTTCAGGGGTGAGGGACCCCATCCCAGCAGTGGTGTGGATGACAGTGACCTGAAGACACAGAGCCAGTGACCCATAGTGCTGCAGTTCATTCATTCCTATTTGAAGCTCCTTGTGGCCACGAGTTCCTTCTGCCCGTATGGCCCATCCCCACATCCCTGACATTCCACTGCCCTCAAGGTCGTTCAGGAGCTGGCCAAAGGCTGTGCTGCTTTCATGGGACAGGTCTTATTTCAGGTACCTTGGCGTGCAAGCACTCTCTGAATGTCCTGGCAGACCAGTGTGTACCTGGTGCATCTGCTGCTGCCGGCCTTAGGGGGGATTTGCTGCAGCTCAGCCCCCGTGTCCTCCTCCCCTACGTCCCAGGTGAGGCTTTCCAAGGCAAAGGAGCCTGAGTCAGCAGCTTCATGGGTTTCTCTGCGAGCCCCAGTTCCCTGCACTAAGTTTGCTCCAGTTGCTCTTCCTCCCTGCAGAGCATGAAGCAAAATTTTATCCAACCAAACTCAAACTTTTATCAGCCCTGGGCTGTATTTGAGCAGCTTTTGGTTTTATAAACTCAAGCCTATAGCTGGACTATTTGTCTCTACCTTCCATTCATGATCTGGAGACCTTCCCATGGGTATGGCTCTGTGTGGCCTTGTGCTTCCTCTGTGACTGCTTGGTACAAGTGAGCACAACATTTAGGGGGCTGCGATCCACACAGCAAAGGTTTTATGTCACATTCATATCACCGGTGAAGCAAAAAAATCCCACACTTCATGTTGGGACAGTGATCCTGCTCCTCTCCACGGTGTCCTCGTCAGCAGCTCTATTTGGAGCTGCCAGGAACCAGGTTTTAATTCATTGACCATGTGTGGACACAAGACTGGGGCTCTTTGCACCGGCCGTGGTCTCAAGAACCTGTTTGGGTGAAAACGCTGTTTTCTTCTGAAAGCCTGTCCCCTGGCCTTGGGTTTTCTTTTCAGCTTCAGATTTTCCTTTGGGATGACCTTGGGTTTCCCGCTCTTCTCCCTGGCAGATCTGTGTGTGTGAAGCAGCCTGCTGTTCTCCAGCTGCTCCCTTCTTCCACCTTTCCAAAGAGCTGGAGCTGCTGCTGGCATTTCTCCCTTTCAGCTCCATGTTCCCAGAGTTTAAATTGCAGGTGGGGATCTCTGAAGACCCTGTGCACCCACCAGCACCCACCAGCACCCACCCTCATCGCAAGCTGAGCAGCGCTTGCTGGTGCTGAGCCTGGTGAGCTGCAGCTCCACAGTTCCTTCCCTGGTGGGACCAGCTGGTGCTGGAGACCTTGGGTCAGTGGAAGGACCATTACAGGTAACGTCACCCACCCTCAATGCTGTGGTGGTCTTGGCTGGTGCCAAGGTGTAGATCCATGTGCTTGAAGACCCCCTGAGCAGCTCCCGAGCTGTGGGCAGCCCCACTCCCCCTCTGCCTGTGCATTGTCTCCTGGTTCACACCTCCCCAGTGGGTCCCAGCTGGGCACCGAGCTCCAGCTCTGGGAGGTGCTGGGTTCAGGGGAGGAGCCCCCAGCCACCTCCAGCCTTCCAGCCGGGTTTGCATCACGAGGGGAAAGGAGCCAGAGGCAGCGCTTGGCACAAGCAAATGCTGATGCTTTATTACCAAGGGGGGTGTCGTGCTCCCAGCTCGGCCCCTTGCCGGCTCCGCCGAGCTCCCCGTGCCGGGAGCAGCGCCCAGCGAAGGGATCCCGCGGACACCGGCTCTATCCGCGAGCGACAACGGAGTCGATCCAGTTTCGGAACTGGCTGACGCGGGTGTACATGGCCGGCGTGCGGACGTTGCAGTTGCTGGTTCCCCAGGAGACGATGCCAATCAAGGTCCAGACGTTCCCATTCTGGTAAACCAGAGGTCCTCCAGAGTCACCCTGTGGAGAAGACACCTCCTGCTTAGTGGTCCCAGCACATGCTCCAAACTGGTCCCTGCCACCCCGGCCATGTGGTCCCCTTGGACACAGCCATGTGGCTTGTCGCTTAAATCTCTGGTTCCATAGATGCAGGACTCCGTGTGGGAGGTCAGCTCCTTACCTGGCAGGAGGAGGCACCAACCCCACCGGCACAGAGCATGGCACTGGTGATCCGGTTGCCCCAGTACTGCATGCACTGGCTGGAGGAGATCAAGGGCAGGGTGAATTGCTGCAGGCGTAGATGTCGTGCTGAGGGACCGTTACTTCAGAACATGGTGGTGCTGGGTTGATGGTTGGACTTGATGATCTTGGAGGCCTTTTCCAACCTTAACGATTCTCTGATTCTGTGATCAAATCACTTTGGTGTCAGTGGGTCTCCTGGGGCCTTCAGGAGCACACAGCACCCTGGGCAAGCTCCCAGTGGTGTTTGGGAGCACTCTCACTTCGTGCCAACGTTCCCCATCTTCCCTGGGGCATCATCATCTTGTGCAAGCAGCCCCAAGCAAGGGCAAGGTGGTGCCCGTGCACAATCACCCCCAGGGTTTGCCCACATCCACCTCCTGAGCACACACCTACACCCCTCCTGCACCAGCGCACGCGTGTGCACACCCGGAGCCACTCAACTGCACAACTCCCCGTCTACACGTGAGGTGTCACCTCCCTGGGCACCCCCAGATCCCGCAGAGCCCCCAGGAAGGATGGCAGCCACATGCAGCCCCCTCCCCGAGGTTGCCACCTACGCACAGTTGGGGTTGGTGCGTCCCCAGCCGGTGGTGACACACTGGAGGTTGGTGGGCAGAGCCAGGTTGGCGGGAGCCAGGCAGATGGGGGACACGCGGGGTCCCAGCTGGGCGGGCGAGGAGAGCTTCAGCAGGGTGATGTCGTTGTTGAAGGTCGTGGGGTTCCAGTTGGGGTTCGTAACGGCCTGACAAAAAACAATCCCATAGCGCTTCATCCCTGCCCAGCCGCGGTGCGGAGCTCCAGCCCCGTCCCTGGATGGTGGCCGTGCCAGCCCAGCTCACCTTGGCCACGGTCTTCACTTGAGTGGACTCGGCGCTGGAGCTGCGGTCGTACTGCCCCAGGACGACAACGTGGGAGTACGGGCTGCAAGAGGCGAGCGAGTCAGGGGGACGCGCGGCAGCCAGCGCCGGGGTGGGAGCTGCGCCGGGGCTGTCACGGGCACCGTGACAGGGAGGCCACCCTGGGGACAGCTAGGGAGGGACCCTGGGCTGCTCCGTTCCTCGGGTGCTGGCTTTGGGGCTGCCCCAAGTGCTGGGTGGCACCGGTGAGGGCTGGTGGGGCATCACTCCTCACTTGAAGTT